AAAAAAAATTTGCATTTTTGATTCAACTTGTTTCTGTACTTTTGTGACAATCCCAATTCCCCTTTTTAAATTAACAATTTTAAATTATCTCGTTTCTTAAGTTTTTATGTCCTTTACTGGAGAATAAATTTTAAGCTAGATATTGCATATGCAATCAGTTGACGGCTACATGTTTTTTAACAATTTACTCCATTAGTCCCAGTCAGGCATGTGAACAAGGAAAGTGTGTCTATGGATAAGGAAGGATGGAATAAGGTGGAGAGAACAAGGAAGGAAACACGTTGCAGTATTGAGCAGGCAAAATGGTTAAGACAAGGCTGACCGATAACTGGCAAAGGCAGAGACAGTTGAACACTGTAGAACAGAACAGCCTGATAAAGGGAAGGGAGATGTCTGAAGGTAGAATGATTAGGGGGAAGGTGGTGATGAATGGCCCAACATTGAAAGCCACACCTCCATGCGGGTAGAAGGATGAAGTAGAATGATGCCAGAAATGGGAAATGAAAGGATAATCAGATGGGAAAGTCTAGTTCAACAGGCGATGGACCAGACTAATCCAAACATAAAGGTGATAGAACAAGATCCCGTGATGGAAATGAGATGGGTGATGACGAAGCAATAGATTGTATAAATGGCAGGGAAAGAGGGGGGTTGGGTTATCAAGTGTTATGGAAGAGGAGACCAAGGTTAAGCCAGCCAGAGGAGTATTGCCAAGAGAAAATGACAAAGACTGTCTCCAGCCAAGGTGAAGAAGGGAGAGGTAAAAAAGGATCAAGTAAAGACAGGAGTAGTGGTAACTGGAAGGCAAAACAGACACCAATAGTCCCTCCCTTAGGTATGGGCAATCCCAAACAAGAGAGTCGTGAAAGGTGATGGAGAAAGACTAAAATTGAGTAAATAATAACCAGATAGATGGAAAGGGTAAACAAAATGAGTTAGGGTTAGAATTAAGAAGTAGGAATACGAAAAATAATATAACACAGGGATTAAAAATAATAGTGCATATCTGATAATCAAGACCAAAGAACGTGAGAAATTTGAAGTTTCTCTTCTATAGGGAGAGAAGTTTCCAAAGTCTAAACAGGTGAAGGAACAATCAAATTCATCCTCCTCATTCACCCCACAAATGAGGAGAAGGAATGGCTGAAGAAGAGAATGGAGCTGAAGTTTCTGAAAGCATAAGGGAACCCACTATCCTATTCACAATGGCTGCCACATCATCCCAGGTAACATGCCTCCATAAGCCATAATTTTTACACAACCTGTGTGAGGAAATTAGTCACTCACACAAATAAAAGAAGACATTACATGAATGAGTGTTCATAGTTTGAAGAAAAAATGAAGGAAATTAAGTTCCATAAATACTGTACGTCTCATTAAATTTACAAAATAAAAACATGCGCAGGGTAGCTGTGTCGCCCTCCTATTGGTGGAGCACTTTTGCTGCATAATAATGTCATTATGCAGTAGCACAATTCATGAGAAATCTCGTGAGTTTAGGTGAGAGTTGCCTGAAGACTAATGGCATGCAACTAAGGCAGATGCATGTGGAAGATAGCTTTGGGTGTTAAGAGGTGTGTATCGCTTTGGAAATTATACAGTTCAAGAAAATTGTATCTAATATATATATATATATATGAGCAATGAAGTCTTTCCACAAATTTTAGTTTTATGAAACAATAATATTTAACACAACTTGTAAATGTTCATTCACATACATGAATTTCATATATTTCAAAGGATACCAGTAAATATTGAGTCCTGATATTTCAATGAATATTTGCAACAACAAAAACTTCTAAAACAATGAACTGTTTTATGTCATAAAATCAGTCAAGAATGAATTAAAAGAATTTAGTTAAATATGATAATACAACTTCTAACCTTTATGTGGAAGTTTTCGAATGCACTGTCTGCTTGGAATATGCCACAAAGTTACATTTTGGTCACGTGATCCAGAGAGCAATGTCAACCCATCAGAAGAAACATCTAAACATGTTACCTGTTTACTGAAATAAAAGTACAATAGAATCACAGTTCAAACATGTGATTAACTGGTATGGTGCATTTATGATCAAAAAGTAACAATATTTCTTTTCCTTATAAAGGCACACATTAATAACTTAGAAAAATATCAAATACACTATGAATTGACCATTACTCTTGTTCATTAACAATAAAAATTTACATAAAAATTCTGTATCTTAATAAACAAGCTAAGAGGTCATCCTTAATAATCTGATAGTGGTGATTCTGAAACTTCTGAGATGGTTGACAGTAATATTTAATGTAAAAAGACCTATTTGAAATAACAAAATTAACTTTGATGAAACAGGTTACATATAATGCATTCTTAATTCTATGAAATCTGGTGGGTCAATTCCACACACATGTTGTATGATTTGTTTTATAGCAATATAAAAAACAACTACTGGGTGAAATAGAAACTTCAGAATTACTTTCTACATATAAAATATATTATTTTTATAGGTGATATCTGTATGAATTCACAGCTTTGAAAAAATTTCATTTTGATATGTTTTTACAAAACAAGTAAAAGTGCTTACCTTTGCTGTAGATCTTTAATATCAATCAACACCATAAAAATATGAAATAAAACTAAATTACCCTTTTTTCTTTCTAGAATGACCTTAAATTGTAACATGAAACTACATTTGTTTATCATAAAAAACATAAATCTCGAAAAATTTATGTTTCAATTTAACTTTTACTGTTCTACTGCTATTTGAACCATGTCTAATTAATAATCCCACCACACAAGCTGTAAATCACTTGGCAAATGTGAATCTCACATTACCCTACCAAATTACATAACACACATTATTATCATTTATCTTACCTGATTTAACCTTATTTAATATAATAAATTTCTCATTTTTAAATCTCAGTTACTTTTATAATAATAAATAAAGAATACACATTTAAAACAAGAAATATAATACTTACTTGGATCTTCTTTTTTTTTGCTGTTGACTGTCAATGAAACTTAAACCTACCTTTTTATAGTAATGGTATTACCACACTAAATAATCTTATTTAATTAAATAATGCACCAAAGAACACAGAATAATAATACGTAAAAAGCAGACAATGCCTGATAACTATCATATTTGTTCTAGCTTTATAACTATGTAATTAGAGCTGTTAAAAATTCAGCTAAGCTTGTCAATATGTTTCCCGTGGGAATAAAGTTGGAATTGGAAGCGAAACAGACAGAAAACAATGTAATATAATACATGATTTTATAGATTAAAACTCTGCCTTTCTATTGGTTAAAAATAATATAGTATTAAATGAGAGAGAGAACTATTGGCAATTTGTAAAAGTGAGAATATTACAGGTGGGCATTGAAAGAGGGGTCTGATTTTCTATTTTATGGCTCTGTAACCAAATAAAATTGAAATCTATAAAGATTAAGCTTTGCCTGAGTGAAAACAATATTATAATGAGTAATTTACATTAAATTCCATACTTCTCAGAGGGGTTAAACAAATCTAAAAAGAGAGGATACCTAAAGAGCAAATGTCACAATTCTCATACTAGGGTGAAATTGAGGATTTTTTAATATATTTCCTTATAAATCTAAGAACTTAAAACTTATATAATATTAAAATTTGATTTATTGCTACCAAGTCTATTTATATACCATGATAGTAAAGTAGTTTAATTAAATTTTGAATGTAACTCTTTAAAAAGTCACGACATGTGCACTTTGACCTGCTTGTAGTGAGAGGGTTAAATAAACAATTTTCCTGTACCTATGTCCAATGAAGGTCAGACTTTCCTTAGCTTTAGTGCTGTAATGCAGATCTCTTTCTACCTATAAAGAAAATCAAACAAGTTTATTACAAATAAGTAATATTTCAAATTTAATACCAATTATACAAATTCAGAGCTTCCTCTGAAGTTCAACCAAACATTTCTGCAATGCTCAATTACAATTTACAAGCTAAAAATTAAAATTTTATGTCACTATTTTGTACGTCAAACCTAACAACATATCAATTGCTAGTTGGCAAAATTGGTAAAGTGTCAAGGATAAGCTCATTGAAGACATTCTTAAACAAAACTCTTTAAAATTGTCTTCAATGAGGTCATTCAATCAAAAACTTTAATGGTTATTTAACAATGGTAATATTATATAGAAAAGAAATTTTGCTTAAAAATTAAGATTACCCATAGAACTTTTATACTTGAAACTGTATAAAACAGTAAAAAAATGTACCTTATATTTTTCTGTATTTACTGTACGTATCTGATGTATTTATTATGCATTAATGTTATATATGTTTAATTTTATATTTTATGCTTTAATGACAAGCCAATTCACAATTATATGTTTTAATTGTAAAAGCAACCTGGTAAAAAATTATTTGCTGGAGAACATGAAACTTAGAAAACACTGAAAAGGAATGAGCAATACAACTACCACATACAAACCATGAACTAAATTAAAGAATACAGTATTACAGCCATGTTTATACTCAAAATTCTTATTAAAAGTTTAGTAGCTGAAACTTTTTTTTTTTTGTTCAGCTCTGGTCTATGAAAGTTGTTGATCTGTAAGATCACTTCTATATGTAAATAGTTTTCATTATGACATTTATCAAGCACATGATCTTGTATGTTGGACTTGCTGTTAGTCATTAAATTTGCACATTCTTTTATAAGAATTTCATGCTGTCTAGCAATTACATATATAAATACCAAAAATTACATTTATAGCATTTAAATTAACATACTACTTTAGATATTTTTCAACATACAATTCTATCTTTATATGGTAAAAACTTTTGTAGTGAATTTTCAGGTTTAAAAACCACCTTTAAATCAATTTGTGGGTACGTTTTATAAAAGAGGCTTACCTAATTGATTTTTTTACATTTTGTATGTACATGGTAGTATTATATTCTCAATTTATTTTGGCACATTAAATTTTATCCATTTATATTTTTTTTACATTATCTAAATATCTGTGCATTATACTGTCTACAAAATTATTTGGAAAATTATTTTTAAAACAAAACTTTTTTTAGCATTTTGGACTTCTTTCCTTATATGCACAATCTATTAATATTTCAAATAATTTTAAGAACTGTTAAAAACAAACCTATGGATTTTTTCTGTTATGTACTTCACATTAAAAATTTCTACTGTCAATAATGTGACAAAGTATCAGAAAGTAAAACAATATTCTTCTTAATGTTCTACTGTAAATTTAATATATTTATGCTGGCAATTCAGATATTGTAAAAGTTGATCTACCTGATGGATCATTAAATATAACAAAAGTACTTCACCTTCAGTAAGCTTAAAACTTGAAGGACAATTATCCAATCACTGTTTTTTATGTTAACAGAGGAACAAGTTAGTTAGGGCTGGTGCTAACCCTGATCTTATTACAATTTCATCAGTTTGATCACATATCGTTATTAAATAAAAAAATGAGATTCTTTAGTAACAAACCACAGTATTTTCTGAAAATTAACATTTTCCTCAATTGAAAATGTTTTTCTAACAGATACTCATCTACATACACAAAGGTATGTCACACTTCTATCAGTGGAAGCTTGTGCTGCATAATGCAGTAGCACAATTTCACATGATTTATGCACATTTTAGGTAGGAGTATCTACAAAGCTGATAGCATGCAAATCTCTCAGGCAGATTAGTGCAACTTCAAGATGAAAATAGCTTTATGAGTATGGAGGTGAGTGAGTGTAATGGAAAAAATATTTCAGAAATCTTATGTCTTCTTCTTTCTGATATATAAGATCAGCTGCTAATTGTAAAGTCTCTTCTCAAACATTAGTGTACAAAGATTCTACATCAAAGCTTACCCAATAAATTTCATTAAACTTTACATTTTTTTATTCCAACTGAAAATGTAAAACTATCTTGAATAGTAAATTTAATATCAGCATTTCTGTTAACTGGTAAACATCAGTCACTGACCGTTTTAAAAGCTAGTTAACCAGCACAATGAGAAGCTGCCATTTATTTGTGAAATTTCTGAGCTGCCATGTGAACAGAAGTAATCATCTGTAGTCTCCTTCTATTTTATTGCCAAAAACTCAAAGCATAATATTATGAAAGTAGTGACTGATTGTAGTGGTTTAGAAGTTAAAGTTAGTCATATTTTTACAGTAAAGTATGTGTCTGTCTTATAAAATACATTTTTGGACAAAATTGAAACACCATAGATGATATTTACTTTTAAGCTACAAGTACAACATTCAAACCAGATGCCACTATTAGTAAAACTACACATCACAAATGTACATTAAAACCAAATAACACATGTATTTTGCCTTTTATAATTAATTCTGAGTCCAAAAAGGAGACATTAATATACTGCTAGTAATAAAAGTTTCACTATGCTCTACTATTCCTCTGCAGGTGGCCATTAGCAAATCATCATAAAGCACTGGTTTAAACAAAATTGTGGGGGAAAAAAAAACTATAGGACCAACTGCAGCAAAGTAAACAATATTCATGTAGCTGGAAATCAAATTTATGTTGTAAACATAGTATTATGTTGAAATAATGACTGTTAAATAATAAAACAACCAGTAATACATACATTAGACATATACTTCTTTAAAGTGAACAGGTATCCTGCAATGACTATTTAATTTTAATATGGTGACCTGTAAAATAATTAGTAATTGGTCACTGTGATGGAACTGGTTTTTCCCAGTGGATATCTACATCAAATCTTTATGTATTTTAAGAACACAATATAAAATATATAGATGATTACCCAAGAGCTAACCTTTAAATGTTCCTCCCAAGTTATCAAATTTTCGTTTCTTTTAACATTGATAAATAATTTTGTAATTTTCTTCCACTTTATTAAGATCTTTTTCCAACTTATAAACTTCATAGCATGGTTCAAAATGTTACTAATCTTTAACAGATAAAGATTAGTAACATTTTGAACAGTTTCTGCCCATTGAACAGCAACTGCCTGTTGTAGAAACAAGTGCCTTTCATCTTCACCTGAAGTAATTACAAACTTTAAACTATGAAATGCCTTTTTTCTGTTTCATTCAAAATCACATCATCTTCAGCATGATTAGTGAAAGTACCATTTATTTGACCTTTGGTTCGACAATATAGTTCATTCAAGTGTTTTTGTCTAATTTTAATTATTATTCATTTAAGAGGTGCATGTAATCTACATGACTATCCTGTTTTTCTAAATTGAAAAAACAAACAAAAAGCCTCAGCAAATTGTTTTTTCAAAGATATATATATGTATCTTAAATTTTTAACTTTATAATTAAACAAGCTGAAGTACCCATCCCTTTTCCAGGTTATGAACTTAATAAAATGTGTGTGTGTGTGGGTTGATGCTATAACAAATAACCCCAAAATCCTAACTTTCACACAATGTATTAATAACACATTATTACATTATTCATTATTACCTCACCAACAGTTTTGTATAAGCTTTAAGAACTTAATATGTATATACTTGAGACATGGTATGTGCGATGGTCAGAGTGACTTTGTAGGAAGAGGTAGTGCCAAAAGTAGTGGTGGTAGGTGTGCTTTCTGTTACCTGCTTTCAACACCCAGCTCTTAAAGTCCTTCCCTGGTGTTTCACGTGATTAATTAATTGATGGTCATTGGCCGTAGAAGTGTCTTACGGGCCGAAGTTGAAAGGTCAAATGTCAAAGTAGGAAGTTGGTATGACTCAAAAAACAGCTCTTCATATGAGCCTTATGCTGGCTGTTGGAGGAGAAACTTCAGCTGAGTTTATGTATTAGTATTAGAATAGGAGAAACCATGTTTTTTTCATTGCATTCCTCCATAGAGAGTGGTAGCACACTCTCTAAAGTATACAAGACATTTGTGTGGCATCCCTCCACACTGTGTGTATGTTTTAGAAAATTTAATAAAGTTCTTTCTTCGTGTAAGGACGTGGTGCTATCTATGAATGTAGTTAATGTTAACTTACATCAAATATAATAAATGCTCAATAACAGCAATAATGGGTATGGAGGAGTTGTGATTCTGCCACTAACATGGCCCTTGTTCCAATCTATCATCCCACAAAGTTTGGTTGAGATTGGCCCAGCGACCTAGGAGTAGTTAGATAACGGACAAATAAACAGACACGGGTTTTTGTGCTTTATATATATAGAGATATGTTTAATATTATACTAATTAGAACTGATAAAAATGACTTATTTCTACTTTAAAATTCCAAACTTAGAAATAACATTTCATGTATTTGTCCTTTAAGACTCAAAAAGTAGGTAAATTAATATGGAGAATTATACACAGACTTTTCTCTATGTTAAAATACTTTTATATGCAAGCTTTCAGCCCTCTTACTGGAGCCTTCATTGGGCAACAATGTACTGAGCAATAAAAATGCATTAAACTGTGGAACACTGCTTTAAAATAGGCATCTGACATCTGGTATTAAATTTATTAAACATATAGAATTATGATGAATACAAAATACAAATTGATTGCCTCAATTTAATAAACATAAGGAAAATACAATTAATAGGTATTATACGGAGAAATAAAAATAAAAGGAATTTTTCAACTTCAAATAGCATATTGTAAAATTAAAGGTTTAATTTTACATCAAAACCATGACAAATAATATGTTTTATGTCTTTTATTAGTGATGTCCATGCAGTATTGAGTAGTTGTTGGCTTTTGTTTGATTAATACCCACTGATGATCCATTGTATTGTGCTTGGATGGCAATCATTTCCTTGATTTTTCTATGTTTGGTGTCTTCTTCTCTGTCTATTATTTTGGCATTTTTTAAGTCTATTATATGGTCATTTTCCTGAACATAAAAAGCTATAGCTGATGTGTTTATAGCACATTTCTTAATATCTCTTTGATGTTCTTTGAACCTTACCTGTAATGGGCATTGTGTTTCTCCAATGTATTGGATATTACACTCCCACCTAGTGCTATAAACTACATTCTTTGTGAGAGGACTGGGAAGTAGGGACTTTACCTTTCTAAGACTGTCACATAGTGTAGGAGGATCTACGAAAACTACAGTGATGTTAAGTTTATTCATTATCCTACAAAGTTTTCTCCTATGCCTGATATGAGGGAAAGAAATGCCTTTTTCTTTTCATTGTGATTTTCAGGTTGTGGTTCATTAGTAGCTGAGACAGATGAACCATATAACACATGTTGAATTGCTTTATTAGGATAACCATTATTCATCGAGATAAAATGAGGAGCACATACTTGTAGCTCTACATTTTAGTGTTTTGATAATCCCAATTTTGACAGCTATTGTATGACATGAGTGAAAATTCATGTATTTTTGTTCTAAATTTTTCAATTCATTGGTACAATTTTGCACTTTGGCAACAGATGCACCCCACTGGGCATCAAATGGATAAGTATATATAGTATATAAGACTCAAGCTTAATAAGAAAGAAAAATCATTAATTACTTTTATAAATATAAGAAGTAGCTTACAGATTTGTATAGATTCAACTGATAGACATTTCCTCCTGATGAGCCAAGAAAAAGATGATATTCTGCAGGATCCATGGTTACTGAGGTCAGACACACATCCATTACTACAGACACCAGAAGGTTTCCTGATGCAAGGTCATATAGCTGTGTGAAAATTAATCAAATACATGTTTATAATTACTACCTGTCAAAAAATATTCACATTTGAGTGAAACAAGTTTTTTAACTTAATAGTAATAGGAAAAGTATTTTAAAACATTTATACAAGGATAAAGGTTGGCAAATTTCTCTCTAAAATGTTTATAAAAAAATAAATTACCATGGATATCTGAAATGCATTGTAATTTTTTTAAAGAAGTAAACACGGCTAAAAGCAAGGTATAAACATATGAAAAAAATTATTTATAAAATATGATCATAATAAGTTTTATGTTTTAAAAGAATTGCATCAGTACTAACAAAAATATTTTTAAAGCTGGTTTTATACAGATTCAGTGTGTTATGAATTCAGTAATCCCTCCCCCATCAAAAACATATTTTAAGTATAGTGATATATATATATATATATATATAGTGTATAGGTTACCGGTGTTACCATTTAAGGTAATATGGCAGGAAGTTCCCTCTTGTCTGGCATAAATGGCTGTTCTTCTGCAAACAGATGTCTTTTGTGCAACTCAGATGTCAATCAACAAGATAACTTGGAATTAAAATTAAATAAATAACGTTATTGATTTGGCAAAAGTGTGATGATGGTAAAGGGAAAAGCAACTTGCTTTCTTATAAAAGCGAGTGTTAGGGCAACAATTGAAAGTAATTCAACCAAGGTTAAATTAGACTGTTACTGGCATTTGTCAATGTTAATTTAGATGTTTAACTCTTTAAACAGTGATTGCTCAGGTCATTCCCACTGCACACTTGCACATCAAAATTTAATTAAAAAATATATTTCTAATTCAACAATTGTTTGCTCAAAAATAATGCAGAATTGATATTTTAGCATCTTCTAATGCTTATCTAATATCTAGTTGATTTCATAAACAGAAATTCAACAAGTATTCAATCTTTTATTCCTGTCATGTCTCTATAAACTTTGCATTTCATGATTTTGGGTTATTTTGACATCAAATTTATGTTGATATGCTTTCTGTTTGTCCAAATGTGAATGTACTAGTTGAACTCAAATTTATTGCAATGCCTGGATGAGTCTTGAATTTTGAATAATTCTCACTGATGTGACATATAAAACAGAATTTTCTAATCAATAATAAAAATTAAGAATCAAAAGTCTAATTTGAAAGGTAATATTTTTGTTGTTTCATGAAACAGTACTTTACACTAAAATGTTAAACATTTTACAACTTCAAAAATTTATAAAATAATAAGTAAAATTTTAAGAATTTTTAATGCAGTAATTAGACACTTTAGAAAGTCTGTACCAAGTCTGATACCAGTTGTTCAAATATTTTCACTAAAAGAATGGAAAAGAGTAAGATATTAGTGATACCTTTCCAGTGAAGAAAAGCTTAAATTTTCTGTTGAATATTTTACCTAGGAAACTGTACTTCTGTAAAAATAGTTGATTTTTCTTTTGTAAGGAAATCATTGAAGTCTATTTTAATTCATATGATTAATAGGTTTGGTCTGTTATGAATTTCACGCAAAACTACACAAGGGCTATCTGCGCTAGCCATCCCTAATTTAGCAGTGTAAGACTAGAGGGAAGGCAGCTAGTCAT